GTAATACTGTTTGTTAGTTTGTCTTAGGGAAGTAGTGTGTGTGTGTGTGTGTGTGTGTAATACATACTCAATACATAAATACAGACTAGGTAGTACGATGTTGCAGATCATCTATCTTTTTTTTTTTTTTAAATCAACTTCTAACTGTTGAATTTTTTTGTTTAAGAGTAAGGAGATGAAGCCTCCTCCTGGAACAGACTGTGCTGAGACCTGTGCTGTTGGGAATCAGTGGAAACCACGACAGACAGTAAAAATATCAGAGAAAGCGGGTCAGATCGAAAGAAAAGGAAGCTTTCTGAGAGAGAGGCAAAATTTCTCTTTGCAGGGTGAAAACTCTGTGTCAGCCACAAATAACGTTGAAAAAAAATTAAAACCCACCATTCCTGCAGAAAAGACCCATTTAAAAACTGTCCGAGCCACCATGTTTGACCACAATGTCCAGAGGCATAATGTTGCTGTTGGTCAACCTGTAATTGATCCTACACAAAAGCTGACTAATGAATTTGAAGGCAAATATGATGTTGTGACTTTACTAGGCCATAACAGAAGATCTGGGATGGAAAAAGAATTACAGGAGAAAACTAGTTCAAAGAGAGAGTGTCACAGTCAGTCTGATGTATCAGGGTATGTAGCAGATGCAGAAAAACGTGGAAAAACAATTTATGTAAATGAAGACAAGAAAATTGCTCATGCAGTTCCAGTGGAAAAATATTCTTCATGTGAGAAATGTGAAAAACCCACTCCTAAGCATGTAGAGGACTCTCTAATTTACCAACGAATAGAGCCAAGATATGAAATCCTTCAGACTTTTGGTGAAAGAGCACTTAGTGAAGCTATTACAGTCGTTCCTGAAGATAAGGCTGTGACACTCAGAACTAGAAAATCTTCTGTGAAAGAGAAGAGAAAACCTGATGGGAATGTCTTACATGCTGATCAGCTGTGTGGGCTAGATAATAAAACTGACCCATTGAAAGAAGGTAGTTTTATTTCAGAAACTAAAGACATGTTGGAAACTTCTACAAAAAAGTTTACTTTTAGGGAACCTAAAGATATCTTCAACAGCAAATGTACTTTTCATGAACAGATAACAGAGTACAATAAAAATCAGAGCAAACCGGTATTTATAACTGAGAAATCCTCTTATGCTACAAACAAAAGTAAGGATTTGGGGATAGCAAATGAAAAAATGACACAACTGCATCCTGAAATGCAAAAAGAAAAGAATGAAATCTCTTGCACAGATAAAACAGAGAGCTCGAACGTGACCAAATACTTTTCTGAGAGAGCTGGTATAAAACCAGTTAGGACAGATGGCTATGAATCCAGAGCTGACTTGGGTCAAGATGTTATTTCAACCAGTGCCAATAAACATGGGAGTCAAATTTCAGTGCCTGGATATAACCAATTGTATAAACCCTCCGTGGACCAACATCCTAGCACAGAAGTAATAACTGCTGATAAAGAGAAATCCAGAGTTTTTGGATTAAGGAAATATCCAGACTCAAAATGGGGAAGAAAAGATTTAGGCTTAGATGTTGCAGCCCTTGAAAATGAAAGAGACAAACTCAGATTAGTAGAACCAGAAGAAAAAGTCAGAAGAACCAGTAGTAGTGTTTCTGACCTTAAAATTTCGGAAAGATGGCAAAGGAAGACCTTGCCTCAGGACTCTAGCAAGCTAGAAGAAGTTAGCCCACTAACTCAAGAAAGTATTAAAAGGCTGAATAGAACAGATTCATTGCAATTTGATGAAGGTGCAATAAAGAAAAAAGTAAAAGAAGCAAAGATGGGATAGAATCAAAGGAGGTGAACCAAACAGTTTCAGTCAGTCCTGATGATTATTTGAAGAAGCAGGTTTCTCCCTTTGAACCAAAGGCAACCTATTTTGCAGTTACGTATCAGATTCCTGATAAAAAAGAAAAAAGCTCTGTAAGTACTGTTAATGCAAATGAAAATAACCAAATTACTACAGCGGTTGAAAGTGCACCAATTAATCTGAACTCTGGTTCTTCCAGAAGGTCCAATCCTACACCTCAGCAATCCTATAAAAATGTACTGGGTACACATTGTAAAGATAAGTCCCTAGAGGAATGTGTTAACAAGCATTGGGTTAAAGAGGAAGAACAAAATATTCTAAGTTTAAAAAAATATATCCAGTGCTTGGAGAGGATGATAATAGGAGGTCTTGTGAGAGAGGGCTGGATCATGCTAAAGAGAAAATTATAGATGTTGATGCTTTCCTCTTAAAGAAGGGCCTGAAAAATATTATTCCAACTGATCTTAAAGGTAGTGGAGGAAAAGTCTCCGCATATCATGAGCCAAAATCCACGCTACACTTCAGGCATTTACACAAAGACAGTGAACTACTTGCACAAAAGAAGTTTGGGGAAAACAGTCATGATGTGTTCAGAGTAAAGACTGAAGACAGGTATAGATCTAGAGTTCTTGATATTGATGCTCTTATGGCAGAATATAAAGAGGAATACATAAAGGCCAGTGACATTCAAGAAAAAAAAGATGACCAGTTCTCTGAAGATCAGAGTATGCTTTATTGGGAGAAGTCAAAGTACAAAAAGAATGTGGCTGATAAAATTCCACACAGCTATAACTGGAAAGATTGGAAGAACTTGGATCAATCTGCTAGTATCACTAAACAAGGTACCTGTGCAGAAGAACACTGCAGGCCTGAGAACTTAACGCTACATGAAAGCAGCAAAGAGAAACTGGAGTCCTGTAGCCAAGAATGGAGTAAGCAAAAGTCCAAAGACAGAAAATTCAGTCCTCCCCATTGGGGAAAGCCTAGTTCACTTTCAGATAAACTTATAAATTCACCTGCTGACACTACTGGTATCAGAAAAAAAACGTTTATTATTGATGAGGATCAAGGGAACAATTTAACATCTAGGCTCCAAAATGCAAAGTACATATATAACAAGGTACAGCCTGCAAATCCTATTAGTGTGGACCAAAAACTGGAAGTCAGTTTAGCTTCTAATTCCTCCCCCGATGGTGGTGGTAGTGGCGGCGGCTTATTACAGAAGAAATTGTTCACAAAACAGCAGTTCACAGAGATGTCTGTGGATGATGACTGGCACAAAAATATAATGAGGAGCTCTGTAAATAAGAACAAAGAGACTGCAAACAAAACCTCACATGAGAGTGACTTTTCCAATATGAAGAGCAAAGCGGAGTGGGATGACTATACATCTGGTTTTGGAAATGCACTGCCAGATTTAAAACGATCGTACTCAGAAAAGAGCCGTCCTGCTAAAGCAAGAGGCAGCATGCCTCAGATGCAAGAAACAAAGGAAAGAAGGGACCAGCACCAATTCAGGCAAAGCTTCCCATTGGAAAGTGAAGAAAACAGACTGAAAAAGAGGAGTGCATATCAACAAGAAACTTTCTCCCAGGAAAATAAAAAGGTATTTACAAGGCAGTATTTGTTAGAGCCCCTCTTATAACTGTGAAAGTGATGAAGATAGTTTGTCATGATTGCTTTCAATCTTGCTGCTTCTGAGTTAGAGCCAGATGCTTCGCTGGTGTAAATCAGCCTTGCTCCGTAGATATTGGTACCAGCGTAAGTGATGCCAGGTGAGGATTTGGCTTTTTGAATATTCTTTTTCTCTGTAATTTCAAAAATCATATATTACTCCTTACAGGGAATATCTCCTTTAAGAGCCAATACTGCAGTAGATCTGTAGTATTCTTTAAAAAGTGGCAAATTACTTACTGACAATATTAAACTACAGCTTTCTTTTGATGTAGAAGTATTGTTTATAAATTGAATTCTTAATGCTGTAGGCACTATTTGTTAAATCTTTCTAGTCACAGCTTTATAAGTCAATAAATGTAACCTGTTTTGAATTGGCATCTCAACTGGGCTGGGGTTTTTGCTTCAGTGAAGGGGAAAACTTTTTTTATAGATGAGTTGGTACTTTCCCTCCCCCAATCTCCTTTCCAGCTACCACTTTTGTGGTGTATTGTTCTCGAAGTGCTGGCAGAGGGAAACCTACTAAGGGTTCTCCTGACAAAAAGGAATTAATGTGCATCACATGCCCATGCAGGGGTGCTGGAATTAGGTGTGCCGGGAGTGCAGCAGCACCTGCTGGCTTGAAATGGTTTACATCATATACGGGGTTTACAGTTTTGTTCAATGGCTCTCAGCATCCCCACTATAAAAATTGTTCCCATGTCACTGTGCCCATGTCAGTGTTGCATAAAATAAAGGTTTTCTGCTTCAGTTAGCCTTCCTTGTTTTGTCTGCTTTGTGAACCAACTTTGAGCTTTCTCTGTAGTTCTCATATTTGAAGTAAACAAACATTTTAAGTGGTATTTTTATGTACTCCTTTGAAACAGGACTCTGAAAAAGAATGGACCAAGCAGAATTCTGACAGATCAGGTGGGAAAGACTTGACTGTAGTTCCTATCCAGAGAAGAAGCCATAGTTTTTATAAGGACCGAAGAGCACATAACTGGACGGTAGGCTATTATTTCTTTGCATATTCCACTCATAATCAGTTGTCTTTTTTTTGTGACATTGAAATACCAACTACTCAATATATCAGGACTTCACAGCAGTAGGAGCAAATACACTTGTAACTTCCTGTGCAAAATTTTACATCAGGGTAATGTTATTTTTCCCATGGGGTATCTTACTGCTTTCACATTTGTGTTAAATCATGCAATATATGTAAAGTGCATAATGAAATCCTTTCTAGATTTTAAAGGGACACTTTGCAACTTTTACACCAATTTCTCATAAAACCTTGGAATATTTCAAAGTAAATGGATTTTTAAAAAATTTTCACCAGTTACTCTTTGTCTCTGTTTGCCTTTTATTTCTCGGCATGGACAATGAAAATCAGTTAAGTAACTTTCACTGTTGTTTGTAGTCCATTTTAATTTCACAATTTCAGTGGTACTGTATTGGTTTTTAAACACTACAGTGGTGTTTTTGTTCAAAACTGTTTTGTTGAAATTTTAAAAACAAAAGTTGTGGAAACATTTCTGTTCTTAGGATTTTAAAACCTGTTTTTATAAAATTAAATTTTGGGTCAGGTTGAAGTTGTGTCCATTTAAAATAAAATGTTGTTTGATGCACATAATGCTATCAATATAAAATTATTATAAAGTACATGTAATGTAAAATGAAGTATCCATGTTCGTTTGTCAACCAACTCAAGAGCATGTTTTTAAGGACTACAATGATGGGAGGAGTTTGAAGTAAGAAAGAAAATGAAAAATTAGAATACAGCAAGAAGAAAGTACACAATGTAAAAATCCAGATGACTGCTAAATTTCTATTTCCATTGCTTCATAAATTATTTTTTCACCAGTAAGTGACTCCTGCATTATTTTTATCATACAACAACTAATCCTCTAAATAGCATTGACAATGTTTTTTTTGTTTGTTTTTTTTACAATCCTGCTTTTCCAGAAGTTTGACACTTGACTATCTTTTTAAATTATAACTGGCTAAAAAAAGTTGAGATGTTCTGCCTAAGGACATCATTGTGCAGTGTTTTGTTTGGCAAATGGACAGTGTGGGTTCCCATGTGGTCAGATACATCTTGCACCTATTTTCCTTTCTTGAATCATTTTCTGCTACCCTGTTGTGGGGACTTATCTACCTTCAGAACTAAGTAAAATGCCAGTTGACATGCAAAAATGAGAAATTTTGTCTTGCTAAGCTGATCAAAATAGTTTTTAATTTTGAAATTCCCCTACATGTACTTACTCTGAACTTTGCTTTTTAATCATACCAGATGTTTAGAATTGTCCTTCATAGTTTCTTATTGTATATTAAGAATATGTTCTTTTACATTTTTCCCTCCCTGTTTTTCCATAAATTCAATAAAAAATGTCACGGAAGTTAAAAATACCTGTGTTTAATAACTGGAACAAAAATAGATTTTTAAAATGAGACACTTTTTTGAAAGCTGGATTAAGAAAATTAGAAATGATATACATATGGGTACATGGTACTCAGATTCTCCATGTAGCTAGTATTTGATGTTGTTCTCATTCCCGTCAAGCTTCCCAATGTACACCAGGCCATCCACTACCTCTTAGTACAACAAATGCAGGATCCGTCAAGAAGAATGTAAATCCATCTAATTCCACCATTTTAGGGAGCTTAATCCTCTAACTATCCTTGGTCCCTATTATATTCTCCAAGATCATCATGCAGCCCTTAATCCTTTTTTGTATGCAGTGTTGAAACCTTTTTTATAAAATTTAAGATCTGTTCAATTTTTCCTTTGACTTTAGAAGTCCCTGTAGCTTCTAGTTTAGTTTCGACCTGATCAAAATGGAATTCCAGGTTATTTACATATTGGGGAAATTCACCCCATGCAGGTGGCCAGCACAAGGCCATATACTGTTCAAATCCTATTTAAGGCAATACCAAGATCTGATAACTTCAGTATCTCAGCCAGAGGTATAGCCTATTGCAGAAGTGGGTGGGTGAGATTCTGTGGCCTGCACTGTGCAGGAAGTCAGACTAGATAACCATAATGGTCCCTTCTGGCCTAAAAGTCTGTGAGTCCAAGGCCTTGTGCTGGCCCTTTGCAGAGAGTTGAGTTTCATCCATATGATACCAGATTATAAAATTTTAAGCATAGGGTTGCAGTTGTGCTATGAACTTTACCAAAATGTCAGTTTCAGAGAACAGTTCCTGAAAAAACTTGGTGTGTCCTTGTCCCATTGCTCAATCAATGTTGTGTGTTTCTCCTAATGAAGATGGTTGTCCTTACACCTTTGTGCTTGACATCTTTGTTAATCTTTGTCTTAATTAAGCTGATTCACCTTTTCCCTTGTTTTTAATATGGTATTCTTGTCATGATAAGATCTGTTTTAAGGGTGAAATTTTTCCTTCTCCCTCCACCAAGCCAAAGTAAACAAGTTGTTTATCACGATCTAAGTGTAAGTTTTGGGGGTGAATCTCTTCCTCATCTCTCCAGCTCCCAATGCCACCACTTTAGGGGGAGGCAACAGGCTAAAGCACTTCTCTGTGCACATGATGTTGAAGGTAATCAGCTACTGAATTTGGATCCAGCATCCTTCCTTTGCTCATAAATTCAGTGCTGCTTTCTGTAGCCTACGTGCAGCTGGCATAGAAGCAACTTCTGTGGTATGTAGGAATAGCAGAGACTTGTGTTGGGATTGTTCAAGTATCTGATATCTTCTGAAATGTCTCGCTTTATGTGAGTCTCTCCAGGAGTGAGGTATTTTACTATTCGGCTCCACCCAGAGAAGTGGTTTTAAGGTCACTTTGCTGCATTACATTCTTCCCAAGTGAGTAAAAGCAGCCTTTTGATACCAAGATCGCTCTTTAAATTAAGATTATAGGCGGTATAATAAAATGTAATTACTTAGTTTATGAACTGTGACCTTGTCTACATTTCTCTTTCATTGCAGTTAAAGAGGGGAAATTTCTTGGTTAGACACATTTTGCAATTTCAGATGTCTTGGATTTTTTGTTAATGAAAATCTTAGATTTTCAACCAGTTTACTTTTCTTGAACCACATGCTATTTCTTTTTCTTCTAAGAATGTGCTTTTGCTCTGAGAAATGACTCAGTAAACATGGTATAATGAGTTCGTTTGTTCTCAATTCCATATTCAATGTGATTAGTTCACAAACTGATTTCTAATCACCAGCCCTGCAAACTCAACGTGTGATCTGAAAATGAAGCAGAGTTATTCCTACTTGTGCTTAATTGCCTATTAGTAAAGATTGTGCAGGCCAAATTCCACCCTAAATGATACCTGCAAAATCCCAATGTCTTCAGTAGGCTTGCACAAGTGTAACCAATCAGAACTTAGTAAAGAATTCTGATACACAACAAGCAAAAGTCTACACAGTCTCTTATCTGTCTTGGGTCTTCAGGGCTAACAGGAGTACAAACTGATTTTGGTATTGAAGTAAGGTATAACTCAACTCTCCAGAAGCTGATCTGTTGAGTAGAGGTTCTTTTTACATTTCAGAGCAGAACTCTGCTTTAAATAATCGTATTCAGAGAATTGTAAGGACAGACCACCACCACTTCTAAAATAGGGGCTGAAAATGTTTGGTTTAATTATTATTTTTTTCATAAATCATCTAGATTACTAGTTGTGTCAGGAGTCACAAGTGACTTAAGAATGCTTCTCCACAGTCTTACAGGGCCAAATCGGAAGTTCCTCTCTCAAGTAACCTCCCATTTAAAGTCAGTAGGAGTTTGTCTGCTGGGCTGGTAAGGACTTCTGGGGGCCAAATCCCCAGAATATACTGTGTCTGGAAATAGCATCTTCGGGTATGTTTACACTGCAGACAGACACCTTTGGGGGGCCCATGCCAGCTGATTGGGGCTCACGCTAAGAGGCTGTTTAACTGTGGTGTAGATGTTCGGACTCAGGCTGAAGCCCAGGCTCTTGGACTCTGTGAGGTGGGAGGGTCCCAGAGCTCTGGCTGGAGACTGAGCCCGAACGTCTACACCACAATTAAACAGTCGTTAAGCCTGAACTGGCTGGCACAGGTCAGCTGTGGGTTTTTAATTGCAGTGTAGGTATACCCATAAGGATCCTGATTACATCGTGAGGAAGGAGAAAGGTACACTTGTTCACATCTAGTCAGGATGGTACTTTACTTATTCAAGTATCAGGGGGTGGCCGCGTTAGTCTGTATCCACAAAAACAACAAGGAGTCCGGTGGCACCTTAAAGACTAACATTTATTTGGGCATAAGCTTTAAAAACCCCGCTTCTTCTGATGCATCCTGTTGCTGTTGTAAAAGGCAAGCATCACTACGAACACATTGCTGGTTTGAGATACTGAATTACTTATTCAATATCTCAAACCAACAATGTGTTCGTAGTGATACTTGCCTTTTACAAAACAAACACAAAAGCCCTTGGAATCTTTTCCCCATAAATTTCAAGTGTTCCACTATATTCTGATAAGAAAGGATTGGGAAAGTTTATAAATAACAAAGAACCCCTTGACAGGTTTCAGAGTAGCAGCCGTGTTAGTCTGTATCAAGAACCCCTTGCTTGCTTTTTTTAAAAATTATAATTGAATACAAGACTGGGGCTTGAAAAATAGTCTTAATTATTGAATTTTTATAGTGTCCCCTTACTGTGAAAACATTTTGTTGAGTAACTGCAAATGATTTATTGAAAAATGTAAATAGCTTTTAATTCATTAAGGCAATAGACACGTGCCTTTTTGAGAAAAAGAGAGCCTATCTCATGATCCTCTCTTTCATAATCTCATGTTTGCATACCTACACTTTGAGGTAAAGATGTGGGGAGATCCAGGCTTTCAAAGTTAGACGTACACAGGTAAAACATGAACAAAAGCTGCTATCATTTGATACTGTGAACCATATCTATCATAAGAAGATTAGAGCCCAGTATTCATTGGCCCTGTTTGTATAATACCCCCCCATGTGGTGACTAAATGCATCACATCCATTCTAAGATCCTAGTTTCTTTGTGT